TATGTACGTTGAAAGCATCTTATAACTTGGCAACATAGGCCTCACAGAGCATTGTCCACGAGGAGCATAACTTGGACCATCTAGGAGCTGAACAATCTTGAGTCAGAGCAAATCTTAAGAATATTCAAGTAAACCAAGCACAAATTATTATAGGTGACAATTCACTTAACAAAAATATTTTAGCTTGGAAATGGCATCATTTGCTTCTTGACATTCTTCTGAATAATTTTTAGGAACAACAGATCTTGGAAATCAAGACTGTAGTAAATCAAGGCATAACTCCCAGAATTTCTTACTATAAGCATTGAGTGATAGATCTCCTTGTTCAAAGATTTTTAGTGAAGCTTTTGTCAACAAGCTTGAGGAGGTTGATGTTTTTACTCAAATACTTGATTTCAATCACCTCACCCCGTGAAATTGGCATAGTACTGGTCTTCATAAAAATCTTACACACAAAAAGCTGGACTTTATGTGGTCATCAAACCAATAGCAGAGAGTCTTTCATTTCCTCTCTAAGCTCCTAAACAATATTGCAATGAACACTAAGAATATTACGTTAGTTGTCGGAATCTCCTCCTAGAGCATATGCGCATTTCCTCGCGGCATTTACGCGTGGCCCTAAACTTCCGGCGGCCAGGTCACCGAGTTTGGAAGCAAAAGCGGTTCCCTTTTTTGGGAAACAGCAGTGGGAAGAACGCGGTGCCCTAAATTTCCTACGGCCCAGACGCTGCCACGTCAGCGAGTCCAGGGCCTTATAAGTACTGCCCTTCTCTCCTCCGTTGATCATAGGGAAAAAGAAAAGTAAAGCAAAGCAATGCCAGCGTCTTCAGCGTTTGATTCGTCTCCAATCCGCGATGGTGCTCCGCCCGTCCGGAACTTCAGCCTCTCCAATCTCCCCGTGGTGCGCCAGATCGTAGATCTCGTCTACGATCCCGACAAGAAGGCCCAGGTCGATCGCGATGGCTACGCGGAGGAGATCGATCTCGGCGAGAAGCCCGCGATGATGCGGCGGCAGTGGTCCGTGGAGGATTTCGCCACCATCAGCGATGGGCAGCACCTTGGCCGCTGCCCCTACTCGTCCGTGGTGAAGAATCCGGGCGTACCCTACGAGTTCCAGATGCCGCTCCACTACCCGCGCTTTAGCAAGCAGCAGTACGCGACCATGCCCGAGTGGCAGATCGATCGGCTGCTCGAGGAGTATGGGCTGCCCGCGTCGGCCATGGGCACTCTCGAGGAGAAGCGCGAGTACGCCGTGGGCGCTTTTCTCTGGCGCGATCAGAGCAGCAACTAGAGGGAAAGTATCCCTGATGTGTTCTTTCCTTGCGAGTGGATTCTTTTTGTTTGTTTGAGTGGGTAGCGAAGAAAGAAGGTTTCAAAGGTTTAGGTCGATTTTCGGCCAGTGTAAATTCCTGAGAGATGAATAAAAGGATCCGTCTCTGTAGATGGTGTTCTTTGATGAATTAAGGGCCGGAAGCGTGAGCAACGCATGACGCCATCACCGCACGAAAAGTTTCTTCGACGCCATGCCGGAGATTTCGTGGAACGCATGAAGAGCATTTTCTTGGCGAGTGAAATACTGTGGCAAATTTGGTAACGTGGAATACCATGTTTGCAGGGTATCCCGGTCAAATTCATAGCGCAAAACATTGCTTTGATTCGAACAAGATACCACGAGTCTTTTAAAGGCTTTCGCATTAGCGTTTGAGCTTGATTTGGTTTCATGGAATGTTATGCTTCAAGCATATGCGAAAATTCCATAGCTGCGAGGTAACATCAGATATAATCTTTTCTAGCTTCGTTGCGCTGCTTGGAGTGTTCCATGCAATGCCATGCCGTGACGCGGTTTCATGGAACACACTCTTGGCAGGCTATGCCGAGCTCCAATCAAGCAAAAGGTGTTTACACGTCTATGCGATGCTCAAGAAGTATGGGTCTTCTACGCGAGGCAAAGGAGCTCTTTGATTCCGTGCCTGGTGTGGTTCTAACGCTGGCAAATGCGATGCTTGTGGCGTTTGCTCGCAATGGGAGGTTCGAGCAGGCGATAAGTCCACGCACTTCCACGTCGGGACTTGTTCTCTTGGAACTCTCTTCTTGCGGCTTGTGGCTTACGGCTCGAGCGGCAGGGTGGAAGATGTGAAATGAGTGGAGCGATTGTTCATGGGTTTCAGTGGGCTTCTGATGCCCAAGATGGATTGCTCGACGAAGCAAGAGAAATATTGGATAGAAACCCAGTGCCTATGGAACACGATGCTAAGATGGTTATGGCCAGAAAGAGGGAATGCCGCCATAAGCAGGACACCTTTGTTGCTTCACTCTTACGGCCGCTGTGGTTTTCCTCGCTCCAAGCAAACGCCGTGTTTGATCGAATGCCGTCGTGAGATGGAGTGTCGTGGAACGCTCTCCTGCTTCGAGAGGCGATCTCCAACCGGCATGGATATTGCTGGAGAGAATGCCGGAAAAGAAGAGTGTGACATTCGCGTGTGCTTCGTCCCTGGACGCCGGGTGAAGCTCCACGCCTTGCAAACTTAAGGATTCAAGCCGGACCACGCCTTTCGTCTCGCTTCTCCCTAGCTTTATAGCCGCCGTGGCGACTGATCACGGCCTGGAAGCGAGTTCTTGAGTTGGATCTTACCAAGGCTTCACCGTATGTGATTTGACCTCTCGAAAAACCAAACCAACGAGGATTTGTTATAAGGGTGTTCCATGTTTCTAGATTGACATACAGTCTATACAAGAGCTACACACACAAACCATAGCTCATCACCACAGTCTTGGAACTTCTCGCAGCTCTAAAAGATCTCTCTCCTAAAACCTTGGAAGAACTCGATCTCACTTCCAGAGAAACGCGCCAATCGCGTAGTCCCGCTTGTCACGGAGAGTTCCGGTGATAAGCGCCGAGAGACCATACTCCTCGAACAAGCGGTCGAGCTGCCACTCGGGCATGGCCTCGTACTCGGCCTTGGTGTACCTCGGGTAGTGGAGTGGCATCTGGAACACGTACGGCACCGTGGGGTTCTTGGCCACAGCCGAGTACGGACACTTCGCCGCTGGAAGAATGGTGGTGAAAGCCGCTGCCGACGACGCCATCTCTTTCCCTGGCTCCTCCTCCTCGAAAAGATGGAACAATCTATCGGTGGTGGCGAGCTCGTACTCCTCCTCCTTGGGCTTCTTGTCGATCCGGGAGGGAGAAGCGCGGTGATGATGGTGATGATCCTCGGGGTTGACAGGCATTTGGGCGAGATGGTATATATATGATTCTCGCGCGGGGAGAGAGGAGAATCAAATCTGGGAATGAGAAGCGACGATCCCCGCGAATGCAAATGGGGCGAGCCGGGCCGGAGAGAGGGCCAAAAGATTTTATACAAGCCTTGAGCTTGTATGGCGCTCGTGAGGGAATGGCGGCCACTCCCGGACGGACACTTGGGTATTCCCGGGCATGGATTTTGCAAGCGGTGGTGTTTCATGTGAGAGCCGGGCTTGGTTGGTTGCGAGTTGATCTTTCACGATCGATCGAGCCAAAACCACGCGATGGTTTTGGAGGGACTCACGACGATCTTATATGCAATCGATAGACGGATCGAATTTCCCCTCTCATGGTTGGGAATTTTGGAGCCTGGGATGCGAGGAACAAACCAGCGCCAGGCGCGGCCGCGATTGGCTATCATTTGAGCTCATGTGATCCAAGCCCGGCCGGGATCTCTCTCTCGCGACAAAAACCCATGAATTGGTCCTTTCCGCGCAGAGATTATATCATTGTTTCTGGATTGCGTGATCAAGAATCCGGGTGAATGAGCTATCATCATCCACGACGAAATTTTCCAAGAATTCTAGAAATGAGTGAGGTAGTAATCTAGTAGAAGAACAGTGGGAGCAATGATTCTCCCTGCATTCGCGCGTAACTCCCATGCTTTTATGCATCTAGCAGAGAATATTCTACAGCATCTTTTCCGATTTAAACCCCTCTGCCAGATCCAAGGTATGGTGATGCTGCTGGGCTCCGAGAGCGCTGGAGGAGGAGGCTCGCCGCCCGAGGGCTTCCATCTCCGGCGATCGTCCTTCTCCGCGAGGCTGAGGCAGATCGTTCGATGCAGCGGCAGCTCTACTACTAGCTCTGCTTCTCTCAATGGTTCGCCATCGCCATCGCCATCGCCATCGTCTCACCCGGCGAATTTGCACAAGGATCGGGAGTCGATCAGGGCGACGAAGGAGCGGTGCCCCTACTCGGCGATCTCGCTCCACAATCCATCGGTGCCATACGAGTTCCGGATGCCGCTTCACTACCCGAGGTACACCAAGGCAGAGTACGAGCAGATGCCCGAGTGGCTGCTGGATCGGCTGCTCGAGGAGTATGGGCTGCCCGCGCGGAGCATGGGAGGCCTGGAAGCCAAGCGCCAGTATGCAATTGGGGCTTTCATCTGGTCCCTGGATTGAACGGAATCGATGTCTCTGTCTTTCCCTGTTGACATTTGTATCGATTCCTCCCACCTCAAGGTGGAGAATTATGTGATTAAAAGCCGACATCGCTCAAGACTCCACTCCACTTGCAAGACTAGTATCTATATCACTTGGAAAAATTTCATAGCTTAGAAAGTATAGTACGTCAAAGATCACTGTTTCAATCAAACACATGATTTTCCAACAGAGAATGCAATTTTCACGTATCTAATACCTTTCAAGGATCCGTTGCTGCAAGCAATTGGAAGAAGAAGCCATATGATTCCAAGCACTTACTTTGCCAGAAGCCCTCTTTTCTGCTTTTAGGGTTTATGGATTTTTCCCGCTCTAGGGTTTTGAAATGCAGGGATGCGTTCTCAGCGAGGAGCAGCGAGCACGGAGCCTAGGCGCTGCCAAGGCGCGACTGGCTCGGAAATCCATCGGCGCTGGCGCGCATTTGGATAAGAGGTATCGATTTTGTAGTTTTTGCTCTCGAAAATGTGATGAGAGATCGAAATCCTTGACAGGAAGAAGGTGTGCGGGGTAAGGCCGTGTGAATGCCGCTGTGTGTGGGGGGAAAGCAGAAGTATCCACTGTTGGTCCCCATACTTCATTGCAGGACCTCGACGATTTTGATGATGACGCTTTTGAGGGGATTGATAGGCTTTGTGGAAGGAGGACGCTCGCGATGGAGGTTCTGGTTCATGTCAACGTATCTCCGGAAGCTCAATGTGTCCCAAAGGGATGCAGCGGTGAGCGACATTCTTCTGACTGTTGCCGGGCTGGGAAGTGGAAAGGTACAATCTTTTTTTTTCATTGCTAGTTTATTTCTGACTCGGGTTGTGAATTATCAGACCTCTACAATGGTCGCATGTATTCTGACAGGTATGCATTGGAGATGGTGAAACGCTTAAGTTTTGTAGACCCTGGCAATCTGATTTTGTCGATTGTATTTTGAACCAGAACAATCTTTGTCGAGCCTAGTGACTGCTGTATTGAATATGCTACCTCAGGTAAGAGTAAGTTTCTCAACAAGATGCTTATCCTGTTTTGCAGAGACGCGATTTTGAAGCTCGTGCAGTCGTGGATGAATCGGGGGGAAAACTCTTGAACTAGGATGAAGATTGTTGGACTGTGAGCAAATTTCATCTTTAAAATGCCTAAATTGTGTTTGATTCTGTAGGTGTTGGACTATCTTTTGGATGATGTGAATTTCTGTGTAAGCACCTTAGGATCCAAGAGGAAGTGAAAGAAAATTCTCGACCGCCGGGATGCTCAGTGCTTCTGAGAGCTTTCTTAGAACATATAACTGTTGGAGAGACCGAGAACTTTCGACGGCCGAGAAGAAATCATAATTCAGTAACGTTGACAACGATGCATCAGGTTTTAGCTTCTTATTGTGTTTATATGCTTTTACCATGCGCTCTGCGTCTGCAGTCGAAGGGACTGGAGTGGGAGAGCGTCTTCATTGGAACGTAAGATTGGCCTCGTCTTGCTAGCTTTGCTTTCACCTTTTTAGAACGGCTCCAATTGTTTAACATAGAACATACTTAACACAGCTGCCGGAGTATTATGGTCAACCTTGGTTATGAACCATAAGAGAGTCTTTCCAGAAGTAATAATAGATAGAAAAGAAGCTCAAGCTGAAACAAATGCATCATTTTGAAGACGTAGCACATGGCGAATTTGCAGAGCCTAGCAAAAGCAGCTCTTCCATTAATCTAGAAGTCTAAAATTTACATATTTCCGTCGTTGTTCAGTCTGAACAATCTAACACAAAAAATCGTCACTAACCATCAGTAGCTATCGTATCAAACCACCGTAAACCAGCCACATACCATTCCAACTACCCATACTTCGGCACCGCCAAGAGTCGCCCTGGGTATTTTGTTCGGTACCAGCTCTTCTTGTCCGCCTCAATAAAGTATAGCGTGGCGTCATCCACGGGCAGCCCCACCACAGCACCATCTTCCTCCGTCTTGACAACAATCCCACTCAGCCTCATGCTCCTTGAATCTGAATCCCATTCAACGATAACATCACCCATTTGGACACCAGGGACGATGCCAGCCACTTCATCTGGTAAGTAGTGCTCCTTGACGATTGCAGGGATTTCAACTTCTCCAGCCCGCCGCACAAAAACCACCTCTTCATTTCGAGGCAGACCAACCATAAGAGGCACCTTAGGAGGTAGTTCCAACTGAATCAGAAAAACACCCGATCAGGATCAGTCAGGATATTGAAGCAGTAGCTTACCGGTTCGAAGAGCTCAACAGCAGCCACCCAAGGCTGCCTGCGAAACAGGGAAACAACCTCACCTTTCACAGTCTGCCCATTGATCGTCACAGTAACTTCTCCACCTTCCTTCCACACCATGCTCTCCTTGTAACCCACGACGATGCACGTTGGCTGTGGGCTTAACGCCATAGTCGTAGGCGGAGTTCCGATGAAAAGAGCGACCCCTTTATCGCTACAGGTGCCCACAAACTGCAGCAGCTTCAAAGCGCCATGAGGAGGCTTCACACGAGGAGGATTCGCAGGAGGAGGAGGGTTCGCAGCCGTCGTCACAGAGGAGAAAGAACAGGAGGCCTTCATAAGCGCCTCCATTCGCTATAGAAGGAAGCAAAGCTGTCATTCCAATCCAAGCTATTTACTTACCTCAAGTATCTTTTGGATGTCATCCAGCTGCTCCTGGAGCTCTTTCTTCTTCTTGCTCTTGCTCCGCCCAAACAGCTTCTTCTCGGCTGCACTTATCATGCTCTTACACCGCGCCACCAGCCTCTCCATCGAAACTTTAGGCCTAGGGCAGAATGACAAAGTTTAAGAGGAAAAAGCTCAAGTCGGAGCATCTCTCAGCGAGGAGCAGCGGGCCAGCCATCCCGCTGCCAAGGCGCGGCTGCCTCGGAAATCCGCCGGCGCCGGTGCGCATTTGGACCAGAGGTATCGATTGATGCTTGTGCTCGAAAAAGTGTGGTGAGTGATCTGAGAGGAAGAAGGTGTGCGGGGTGAGGCTGCCTCTCGCGGATCTGGATGTGAATGCTGCTGTGTGTGGAGGGAAAGGAGGAGTTGGTCCCGTTTCTTTCGACGATTTTGATGATGACGCTTTCGAGGAGATTGATAGGCTTTGACGCGATGGAGGTTCTGCAGCAGACATGCCAACGTATCTCCGGAAGCTCAATGTGTCCCAAAGGGATGCAGCGCTACTTCTGATTGTTGCCCAGCCGGGAAGTGGAAAGGTACACACCTTTTTTTTTTTCATTGCTAGTTTTTCCTGACTACTTCGATTCAATTATCACGCACGTATTCTGACAGGTATGCATTGGAGATGGTAAAACGCTTAAGGTTTGTAGTTCCTGGCAATCTGATTTTGTCGATTGTATTTTGAACCAGAACAATCTTTGTCGAGCCTAGTGACTGCTGTATTGAATATGCTACCTCAGGTAAGAGTAAGTTTCTCAACAAGATGCTTATCCTGTTTTGCAGAGACGGGCTTTTGGAGCTCGTGCAGTCGTGGATGAATCGGGGGGAATGCTCTTGAACTAGGACGAAGATTGTTGGACTGTGAGCAAATTTTCATCTCTCTTTTGGATGATGTTTCGGAATTTCTGAGTAAGCACCTTAGGATCCAAGAGGAAGTGAAAGAAAAATCTCGACCGCCGGGATGCTCAGTGCTTCTGAGAGCTTTCTTAGAACATATAACTGTTGGAGAGACCGAGAACTTTCGAACTCGGCCGAGAAGAAATCCTAATTCAGTAACGTTGACAACGATGCATCAGGTTTTAGCTTCTTATTGGGTTTATATGCTTTTACCATGTGCTCTCGTTTGTAGTCGAAGGGACTGGAGTGAGACAGCGTGTTCATTTTGAAGGTAAGATTCGCCTCGTCTTGCTAGCTTTGATTTCACCTTTTTAGGCCAACGAGTTGGGAAACGCCACTGCTTCACGAGTCGTCATCTTTTGAGGTATCGCTATTTCTTCAATAGGACTTTGTATTTAAATTGCCATTCCGTTACAGGAAGAGAGGAGATTGTTTTACGTTCCAATGACTTGTGAAGAAATTGTATATAGTATATATAGTGGTAAACTCACAAAGACAGGTCCGTGAATTTTTTTTAAACATCTATTCTGAGATGCTTTTATTTTCGCAGATCTTGCAGCCATCGCGATTGTTAAGTGAATTGCCGTGTCAGCATTTGCAGTTCCAGGCAGTGCTTGCGATTGTTTTTACGGGTTCTTTGCAGGGAATATCTGACTGTCCTGGCAAAGTTAAGCTATTGCAACCTCCAGGCTCCGTGTCTAACTTGTCTAGAAGGGACGAGAGCGCGTTAGTGGATTGGTCCGCGTTTTAGAAGGTGAAAATATGTGAGCAATTTTGTGCAACTGACGAACTGATTTTCTAGTTTCAATGTCTACCATCGCGTCTATATTCTGCTTTCCAAGATCCAAAACGTCTGCTCACTAAAGTAAGTACAATTGTACTCGCTGTTGTGATGGTGGCCATCTTAATTGTAGGTTTGATTGTATACCTATCGACGAGCAGCTGCGATAAAAAACTGCGAAGAACAAGGTCTGTTATTTTTCGTAGCAATACGCTTTATTAACTGTAAGTGTTTCCCAATTTACACAGGATACATTGCACGCGTTGAAACGTTCATTGACAGATAGTGTACCCCGATCAGGTGAGATTAATTGGTCGAAACTACGTAGATCAAGTCGTATCTTTTTGTATTTTTTTTCTGTTTTCGGTTGCACTGTGAAACAATCGTCACGTCTTCATGCGTCGAAGTTGATCGAGCAGTACAAGGCTTTGTGATCATCGATCAAGGAAAGGCGTACTTAATCATTCGCTCTGGTTCTGAAATACAGTTCCTTCCTACAGTGTACGTATATCTTACTTTTCTGTACAAAAACTCCAACCAGGATGGTGTCCTAGCGTGCCGGGGACGGTGTAGGATAGGGAGCAGGACTTGGTGGAGTAAATGATAGAGGCGATGGCGATTTCGATGGAGCCGGGTAAGCAGCTGGTGCTTGTGGAGTGGTAGGAATTGGTACCGGAGTGATGGTTATTGGGGGAATGGTCGGAAAAGGAATGGTCGGAAAAGGAATACTGGTGGGACTGGGAGCGCTTGGGAAAGGAATGGTTGGAACGTACGGGAAAGGAATACTGGGAATGCTGGGAATAGTCGGGAATGGAAACAGTGGAAATGGGAAGGTTGGAAGTCCTGGAGATGGAGATGACGAAGGGGATGGACAGGACGATGAAGAGTTGATATAAGAACTGGGAGAAGACGACGAAGTGCTGATTTGCAGGGAGAGGTTGACCTGGAGACCACCGCTTCCAGTGTTGGAAGCGCTCCATGCAGACGATGGATTGGAAAGAGTAGTAGCAGTCGAGGAAGGTGACTGGAAAACTGACGAGGAAGGCGATGAGATTGACGATTGCGTCTGCGGCTGCAATGAAACTGCTCTACTGACAAGCTGCGGCTGCTGCTGCCTGCGATCGCCACTGCAATGCGGGAGCTTTGCTCGGGGACGAAACACGAAGGGCCCGACTCCATAGACTTGCCGTCCATCTGGCAACGAGCGTAGAGACAGGAAGGGGTTGTAAGCGTGGGCCAAGGGATACGTGCAGAGGTGATTGAGCGGCCCCCTCACAACTCGGCTCGTGCATGTCGAGAGCATGCTGACCGAGTCGGCGATCTGGAACGGGAGCTCCACCCTGAAGGCTCCCGTTTTGTCGGTGCTGCTTGTCTCTCTGAAGATGATCCGGCCGCCGGCATCGAAGCACTCGACAGCCGCGGTAACGTCTGCACAGATCACACAAGGATGGAAAAGAGGAGATCTAGAGAGGCACGTACTCGGAAGAGAGATGGAGTTGGAGGTGATTTGCATCTCCCAGCAGGTGTCGCAGATGGCGTAGCCAAGGACGAGCCTGGGCAGGAAAGTGGAAGAGGGAGACGATAGCTCGGCGGTGTAGAGGTTTCTCCCGGCGCTGGCGAGGAGTTGTGGCGAGAGCAGCATGGCAAGAAGTAGCAGCATCGCCATTTTTTTGACATTTGGACAAAAAGAGGAGGATTTATTTGTAGATTCGCTAAGTGGAAGGAAGAAAGAATCAGTGCCTGGAATTGAGGAACGGTCACTAGGTAACTCCAAAACTTTGCTTTTCTTTGATGTCCATAGTTCTAAATGCAGAGCTTTTATTGGTGATGATGCTTCTTGGTTCCGTGAAAAGGTGGCGGTGCTTGAGCGGAGGGCGATCCATGCTTTGGCGGAGCGCTCCCGGGTTTGCTGGAGCTTGGATGTGGAGGGAATGCTCCTGGAAACCACGCAGATCCTGGGAATGGAGTCGAGTGTGGAGGAGGAGCCGCCTTGTTAGAGCCGTGTGGTTCTGGTTTCGGGCTTGGAGGAGGAAATGCGAATGGTGGATATCCGAAAACCGGGTGTGGAGGAGCCGCCTTGTTGGCAGTGGAGTGATCTACCGGAGGAATTGCTCCAGGAAAGAATGGTGGGAAGTTTTCAAATCCTGGAAAAGCAGGGTGTGGAGGGGGAGCCGCGCTCGAGCCCTGGTCATCGGCTAGTGCTGGTTTTGGATGGCGGAAAGGATTCTCGTTGCAGGATGGAAGAGGTTCCGGCGGCTGGAAGAAGAAAGGCCCAGCGCTGTAGAAGGGCCATGGACGGGCAATTTTGAGCGACGACTGGAATGCCGGGGTTGCTGGCGATGGCGGGCTCCAAGGGTAGGACTGGAACTTGACGGGAGTGTTGCAAGTGCCGAGATCGCCCTCGACTCTGGAGAAATCGCTGGCCACCTTGACAGAGCAAGACGCCAGCTTCGCGGGAGAGGTGCCCACCTCTAGCGGCAGCGCGATGGTGAAGACGCCAAACTCGGAGGTGGTGTTGGATGCCTGGAAGTCACCGCACCGGATGATCGCGGTCACGTCTTTGGTGATCAAGCGAGAGCGTTAAGTATCCAAACTTCTTGGAAGAACACACTAGATACTTACTTGGAATGGCGATGGTTGCGAACGAGAAGGTCTTGTCCATGCATCGGTCGCAAAAGATGGCGCCAAATACCGTTGGGGGAACCGCCGGTGGCTTCTTGGGACTCCATTTCCTCGCATCAGCAGTGGCGTCGAGACAAGCAAGAAGAACAAGAATCGCGAGCTTGTAAAACGCGGCCATTTTCTTCTCGGATTTGCTCGTTTTCGAGAAGATTGAAGCTGGATGGATGGATGATCTCTCCCCCTCGCCGCAATTTATAGGCAAGTCCTTCGAAACGTGACGCTTTGCTCCCGTCAGCTGTGTGTAAGCTCAGGAAACCTTTCCTGGAAAGACTTGGAAACTCCTCCCTCCTCGTCCTCCTTTAAAGTTGAATGTGTTGTCAAGAAACACACGCAAAATGGAAGTGGAGAAAAGTTTCATGTAGCAGCGGCGACTTGTACATAATAGTCCTGACTTTTTTTTCCACCATTTTCTTGATTGTGTCTGAGCCGTTGATAGTGTTACTTTCATCACCATTCGTCACGTATCTGTCGTTCCCAAAACCCAATAGTCACCGAAAAACACCCCCATAATCATACCTTTCAGCTTCCTTCTTTTTCTCGAATGCGTGTGGTGCTAAGACTTTTACCTCACTTCTAGTGCTTGGGGGGCCACTTTGACACCAAAAATCTTCATTCAATCTTTACTTAGAAGGTGCTCCTGCTACTATAAGGGGCTCACTTTTTTGCAAGCTTGAGCAAAATCATCTGCCCTTGATTCTGCCTCGTTTTCTGGGTATATTATAGATAAACAATAATATCCAATGCCCGTAAATAGGATTAGAACAAGAGCAATGCACGGTCAGCAACGGTAGGCAAGCTGAGCAAGCTCAAGAGAAAATCCCCACCTTTTGGCACCTCGCTGCACAGGAGATGGCGTGGTGCTATAACATCCAAGAAGATCAACTTACGTAAAGCTCAAGCATAGCATGCGTCAAGTCCCTACACAGCAACTGCGCGTCCATCGCTGGCATTGCCCAGGAGTCGTATCCCTGTCCCAATGGCGATCCGTCAAGCGATGAGAGTAGCGCCGTCTTCCCCTAACCAGAGCATCGGTTTTCTCTGTTTCAACCTGCAAGACGATTGTTCCGTGTTGGCCAGCGGCGCAGCTGATTTAAGCTGCTTTACGCACCTGATGCCAGAACCTGGAATCAATGCAAAGTTGAATGACTCTTTTGTGATTTCCAATCTTCATGATCATACTATGGCGAGTGTAGTACTGCACTTTGTACACTTGGTTGGCTGGAGAGTGACTGAGATGAGTCACTTCGGGACCATCACGAAGCGTAACAGCTTCGCAGTAGTCCTTTGGTTTTGGTTTAGCTCGAGGAGCAGCAACTGACCCAAAACGAAGACGCACACCAAACTCTTGCACATCCCAGGCCGTGCGTTCGAAAGATTCCGGGCCAAGGGCAGCTGCTTGGATGGTCACCACGAAACAAGGGCAGCTTGGCGTTGATTCTCCCGAAGTTGGTGTGGAGCTCGGGATACTCGACGATGGTGGGCACGACAGCTCTCGGATCGTACGCCGGACTCGACTATCTGTTCCAGTGTTTCGCCACGGATCGACGTAGACGCGTTGTGGTTGAGTCCCGGATCAACTTTTGAGCAGATAGTGCAGTGTCCTTCTCCTACATCGAGGATGGTCGATTCTACGTCCTTCGGCTTCAATGGCCCACTCAATTGAAATACACAAACGTTTGCCTCCTATTCGTCATCCTATGAGTTCCAGATGCCACTCCAATCTTTAGCAAGCAGCAGAACGCCACCATGCCCGAGTGGTCGATCGGCTGCTCGAGGAGTATGGGCTCCGGAGCATTACACCGTGATGGTGGATCTACTAGGGCGGAGCAATCAGCTGGAAGAGGCGGTACGCCATGGGCACCTTCATCTGGCGTTCAGAGCAACTAGAGGGAAGGGGGATGTGTTCTTTCCTTGTGTTGACTTGCGTCCTCCATTTTGAGTGGTAGCGAACTTCCAGATTGACATACAGTTTATACAAGAGCTAAGACACAAACCGATGTTCACCATGTTTTGTGGGTGCTCAAATTCCTGAAACTTCTCGCAGCTCTAAGATCTCTCTCCCACAACCTTGGAAGAACTCGATCATGATCGATCTCACTTCCAGAGAAACGCGCCAATCGCGTAGTCCCGCTTGTCACGGAGAGTTCCCGTGAGGAGCGCGAACAAGCGGCCTCGTACTCGGCCTTGGTGTACCTCTTGTAGTGGCGTGGCATCTAGGAACACGTACGGCACCGCCGGGTTCTTGGTCACCGCCGAGTACGGGTGGCAGAATGATGACGCCATCTCCTTCTCTCGCTCCTCCTCCTTGTCGAAAAGATGGAACAATCTATCCGGCTCGGACACCTCCTTGGTGGCGGAGAGTCAGGAGGCGGGAAACGCGTGGTGGTGATGATCCTCGTGGCATAGACAGGCATTGTGTTTGTGTGATTCTCGCGAGGGGAGAGTCGGGGCTGTGGAGAGAAATGTGGAGAGCCCAGAGAGGGCCGGCCAGAGACAGGGCCAAAAGATTTTACATAAGTCTTGGGCTTGTGTGGCGCTCGTGAGAGGGTGGCGGCCACTCCCGGACGAACACGGACGTGGATTTGCCGCCGCTTGTGGAGGTGCGTGGTGTTTCATATGACAGCCTAGCTTCACGATCGAGACAAAACCAGTGGTTTTGGAGGGACTCGCGACGATCTTATATGCAATCGATTAAGGGTGAGACGCCAGTCTTCTCGGTCGTTCGAATTCCGCTCTCGTTTTGGAGCCTGGGATGCGAGGACCAGATTGATGCAATCCAAGCCGGCCAAAATCTCCTCTCTCTCGCGACAAAAACCCATGAATTTCGCATTGTTTCTGACCAGGAATCCCATCATCCACGACGAAATTTTATTCTAGAAATGAGTGAGTGTTTCTGCTGTGGTGGTAGAAGAGTCTAGTTGGCTTCCTAAAGTGGGGACACAGATTCTCCCTGCATTCGCGCGTAACTCCCAGTCAAGAGAATATTCGACCGCATCTTTTCCGATTTAAAACCCCACTGCCCCGCGCACTGCAGATCCAAGGTATGGTGATGCTGCTGGGCTCCGTGAGCGCTGGAGGAGGAGGCTCGCCGCCCGAGGGCTTCCAGCTCCGGCGATCTTCGTCCTTCGCGAGGCTGAGGCAGATCGTTCGATGCGGCAGGTCTGCTTCTCTCAATGGATCGCCATCGCCATCCTCTCAGGCAAATTTGCACAAGGATCGGGAGTCGATCAGGGCGACGAAGGAGCGGTGCCCCTACTCGGCGATCTCGCTCCACAATCCATCGGTGCCATACGAGTTCCGGATGCCGCTTCACTACCCGAGGTACACCAAGGCAGAGTACGAGCAGATGCCGGAGTGGCTGCTGGATCGGCTGCTCGAGGAGTATGGGCTGCCGGCGCGGAGCATGGGAGGCCTGGAAGCCAAGCGCCAGTATGCAATTGGGGCTTTCATCTGGTCCCTGGATTGATCGGAATCGATGCCTCTTTCCCTGTTGAAATTTGGAAAGGAGCGATTCCTATGTGCACAGGCGTCGTGGTCAAGACTCCACTCCACTTGCAAGATTAGAATTATACCACTTGGAAAAATTTCATATGTAGCACGTAAAAATTCGAGAAGATCACTGTGTCAATCGAGAATGCAATTTCTTACCTTTCAAAGATCCGTTGCTTCAAGCAGAAGCCATGATTGCTCTCCTCTTTTCTACTTTTAGGGTTTATGGGTCTCCCACAGTGTTTTAGCAAAACACCCTTGGAGGTTTTTCCCGCTCTAGGGTTTTGAAATGCAGGGATGCGTGCTCAGCGAGGAGCAGCGAGCACGGATTCTGGCCAGCCATCGCGCTGCCAAGGCGCGGCTGGCTCGGAAATCCGTCGGCGCAGGCGCTCCTTTGGACCAGAGGTATCGATTGATGCTTTTGCTCTCGGAAAAATGTGGTGAGAGATCGTGGCAGGAAGAGCCCTGACAGGAAGAAGGTATGCGGGGTGAGGCCGCCTCTCGCGGATGTGGATGTGAATGCTGCTGTGGGTGGAGGGAAAGCAGAAGTATCCACTGTTGGTCCCCGTACTTCATTGGGGGCGTTTGAGGACTTCGACGATTTTGATGAGGACGCTTTCGAGGAGATTGATAGGCTTTGTAGCAAGAGGAATGAAGACGCTCGCGATGGAGGTTCTGCAGCGGACATGCCAACGTATCTCCGGAAGCTCAATGTGTCCCAAAGGGATGCAGCGCTGAGCAGCATTGGTAAGCCACTTCTGATTGTTGCCGGGCCGGGAAGTGGAAAGGTACACACTTTTTTTTTCATTGCTAGTTTTTTCTGACTACTTCGATTCGTTTATCAGACCTCTACAATGGTCGCACGTATTCTGACATTGTTAAACGAGGTATGCAGTCCTCTCTTTGTTTTTTTTGTTAAAAAGCTCAAGGGTTCGGCACAGGGGGTAGACTCCAAGAACATTCTAGGAATGACCTTCACGACAGCTGCTGCAACGGAGATGATGGACCGCGTCGCTGCTGTGGTGGGGAAGGAGGCGTCCAAGGAACTTATGATCTCGACGTTTCATTCCTTTTGCTTGCAACTCTGTCGCTCTCATGCGGAGAAGTAAGCTGTCCCTGTGTCATGCTGCTTGCTAAGCAGTAGATTTGCAGGTTGAACAGGACGTCTGAGTTTCTAGTTTATGGAGCTAGCCAGCAAAGGAAGGCCGTGATTGAGGCAACACGGTTAGCTTTGGAAGCAACAGAAAGCTGTGACGCTCAGAAACCCGAAGTGTGGAGAGAACGGGCGAAAAAATGGCAGCGGTTCGTAACGCAGGTTGTGTCGAAAATTATAATGACATGTCGGAGCCTAAGAATTTTGTCGCAGGCAAAAGCTTCTGGACAGGATTCTGAGCAGATTGAGAAATCAGGAAATCATCTTGGGGTATTTCTTGTTTGTCTCTATGTTTGGACAACTTGTTACTAGCGAAACCCGTGCAGGCGGATATTCTGAGGCATTACGAAAGAATACTGGCATCCTGCAATTCGCTGGACTACCATGACTTCATTGGATTTGCTGTAAAGCTTTTAACTGATCACCCTGATGGTAAAAGCGTGCAGTGTACTGCAATGCGTTTTCACACCCTTTTTTGACAGTGTCAGCGGAATGTCACAACACTTGGGCATATGTACTCGTTGACGAGTTCCAAGATACGAGTGTGATGCAGTACAAGCTTTTGCGGCTTCTTTCTCTGCACGGGAGGGTCACTGTGGTTGGGGACGATGATCAAGTAAGACATCTCTACGTTCTGCTAATATTTTCTTTTGCTAGTCCATTTTCAGCTTCAATGGTGCCAACTCTCTCGGTTTTTCCACATTCCGGAATGACTTTCCAAACCACAAAGAGGTCTAAAAAGCTGAAATAAATAACGTAGTCATGTGATTTGTTGTCTGCGTGCTTAGGTGAGACTACACCAAAATTATCGCTCCACTGGCTGTATTGTAGAAGCAGCGAGATGTGTCATTCAAAATAATGATTCAGGCTGCAGCGCTAAAGTTGTGCGAACGGATAACGATTTTGGAGAAAAGGTATCAGGAATTCAGAACATATTTTACCGACTATTTTTGGTTTACCAGATAGTTGTTATGGAGTGCCGAAATGAAGAAGCACAGTGCGCATTTGTGGTCGATGAAATCCTGGAAAAGGCTTCAATGGCCAGTGACATCAAGCCGGTGTTTGCAAACTTTGCTATACTCTACAGACGACAGGTGTGTATTTGATTTATTTTCTCTGTCGTCATTTTCGCTTGCAGGTCACAGGCAAAATATTTCAATCTGCTTTCCGTAGTCGAAAGATTCCGTTCAATATGCATGGAGTAGCAGTCTACCGCAAGAAGGTTCCATGCTCGTTTTTCTTTTCTAGTTGGCTGACTTTCATGGCATATTGTAGGTTGTGAAAGACGTGATTGCTTTATTGTGGACATCCTTAGGAAGAAGTGGGACCGTGTTTGAAAGAAGAGTATTTAAGGCGTTATATGGTGGTGATAAAACGGAAACAAAGAAGGTATGATATCTGTTTTCTATCTTATACAGACATTGGGATTTTTCAGGCAGTGGAGTACGTGGAAAAGTACGGAAAAAATGAAAATTGTAGTTTTCTTGAAGCAGCAGAGATTATTTTTACGGCAAAAGTTTCGGGTACCTTTAGCAGGTCTTGCATAAGCATTATAAATGCGTGCAAAACATTTTTCTTTTCTTTTTCAGGCGCCAACTTAGCCAAGGCCGGAAAGTACTGACTACCGTGGAGATGGTGAAACGCTTGGCTGCCAAGGTTTGCAGTCCCTGGCAATCTGATTTTTACGATGAATTGCATTTTGAACCAGGAACAATCTTTGTCGAGCCTAGTGACCGCTGTATTGAATATGCTACCTCAGGTAAGAGTAAGTTTCTCAACAAGATGCTTATCCTGTTATGCAGAGACGCGCTTTTGAATCTCGTGCAATCGTGGATGAATCGGGGGGAAAGCTCTTGAACGAGGATGAAGATTGTCGGACTGTGAGCAAACATTCTTCTTTAAAATATGTCTAACTTGTGTTGGACTCCAGGTGTTGGACTATCTTTTGGATGATGTTTCGGAATTTCTGTGTAAGCATATTAGGCTTCAAGAGGAAGTGAAACCAAATTCTCGGCAGCTGGGATGCTCAGTGCTTCTTAAAGATTTTCTGGACCATATAACTGTTCGAGAGACCGAGAACTTTCGAACTCGCCGAGAAGAAAATCATAATTCAGTAACGTTGACAACAATGCATCAGGTGTGAGCCTATCGTCTTTATATGTTTCTTTTAGCATTTTCTCTGTATTTGCAGTCGAAGGGACTGGAGTGGGACAGCGTCTTCATTGTGAAGGTAAGATTGCCCTCTTCTTGCTAGCTTTGATTTCATCTTTCTAGGCCAACGAGTTGGAAACGCCACTGCTTCACGAGTCTTCATCTTTGGAGGTATGGCTATTTCTTCTAAGAAGTCTTTGTAGATTAATTGGCATTCCGTTACAGGAAGAGAGGAGATTGTTTTACGTTGCAATGACTCGCGCAAGGAAGAAATTGTATATAGTATATATAGTGGTTAACCCACAAAGACAGGTCTGTAACACATTTACTTTCAATGTTTTCTGATGCTGTTCTTTCAGATCTTGCAGCCATCGCGATTCTTAAGTGAATTGCCGCGACAGCATTTGCAGTTCGAGGCAAGGTCCTGCTTGTGCTTGCCATTGTTCTCATAGATTTTTTTCAGGGGTTATCTGACTGTCCTGGTAAATTTAAGGTATTGCAACCTCCAGGCTTAGTGTGTAACTCGTCTAGCAAGGATGTTTTGGACGAGAACGCGTTAACGGATTCGTCCGCGTTTTTGAGAAGGTGAAAATATTGATAGATCAATTTTGTGCAACTAACGAAGCTGTTTTTGTAGTTTCAATATCGAAGCCAGGTCTACCATCGCATCTATATTTCATCAATGGGCTAAGAAGTCCGCTTTTCAAGATCCAAAACGTCTGCTCATGAAAGTAAGACCAATTTTACACGCTTTTGTGATGGTGGTCATTTTAATTGTAGGTTGGTTTGGCTATAGACGAGCGGCTGCGATCAAAAACTGCGAAGAATAAGGTCTTTATATTCATAGAAATACGCTTTATCAACTTTTATTTCGTAATTTACCCAGGATACATTGCACGCGTTGAAACGTTCATTGACAGATGATGCAGCATTTGCGTACGCCGACCAGGTAAGTTTTACTGGCCGGAAATACGTATATCAAGCTGTTTCGGTTTGTATTTGTATAAGATTGTCAAGTGGGAAAAACTTCCTGCACATGAGCGCTCAGTACACATGGCTGAACGACAGGTTTGTTCTCACATTATTTTATTTTACTCGTCTGATAAGGCGCCTCTCCAGGAGTACTTCCAGCAAAAATGTTCTGAGCGTACAATGGGCTCCGTTCCAGCAACAGCTAAACAGGTTGTGGATATGCACCGATAGACCCTCTAAAACCCTGATTGTAGATTGCGTTTCTTCGGAGCTTCGGTTGCACTGTGAATCCATCTTCACGTCTTCATGCGTCGAAGTTGATCGAGCAGTACAAGGCTTTGTGATCATCGATCAGGGAAAGGGGTTTGCTGAAATACAGATCCTGTAAGTATTGGACAATCCCGATCAGTCACTAACTTTTCACAACATCAAGGCTGGTGTACTTGGAGTGGTCGGACCGATGGTTATTGGGGGAATCTTCCGGAAAGGAATGCTCGTAGGAATGGGAACGCTTGGGAAAAAATTGCTCGTAGGAATGGGAACGCTTGGGAAAGAAATGCTGGGAACGTTTGGGAAAGGAATGGTGAAGGGAGTGGAATAGTCTGGAACGGAAATAGTGAAAATGGGAAGGTTGGAATTCCCGGAGATGGAGATGACGAAGTGGACGGGGAAAAGTTGCTGCAAGAACTGGGAGAAGACACGAGGAAGTGCTGATTTGGAGGGAGAGGTTGACCTGGAGACCACCGCTTCCAGTGTTGGAAGCGCTCCATGTAGACGATGGTTCGGAAAGAGCAGTAGCAGTCGAGGGAAAACTGACGACGAAGGCGAAGAGATTGAGGATTGCGTCGGCTTGCTGCTGCCAGTGATCGCCATTGCAATGCGGGAGCTTTGCTCGGTGAGGAAACATGAAGGGCCCGACTCCATAGACTTGCCGTCCATCCGGCAACCAGTGATTGAGTGGCCCCCTCACCACTCGACTCATACATGTTGGGAGCATGCTAACCGAGTAGGCGATCTGGAGCGGGAGCTCCACCGTGAAGGCTCCCGTTTTGTTGGGTGCTACTCGTCTCTCGGAGGATGATCCGGTCGCCAGCATCGAAGCACTCGACAGCTGCGGTAACGTCTGCACAGATCACACAAGAAAAAGAGGAGATCGAGCAAAGCTCAGGATGGGAAGAGGCATCGAGTTGGCGGTGATTCACATCTCCCAGCAGGTGTCGCAGATGGCGTGGCCAAGGACGATCCTCGGCAGGAAAGTGGACGAGGGAGACAATAGCTCGGCGATGTAGGGGTCTCTCGCTGCGCTGGCCGCGAGGAGTCGTGGCGAGAGTAGCATGGCGAGAAGGAGCAGCATCGCCATTCTTTTTGGACATTTGGACAGGAAGAGGAGGATTTATAAGATTCGCCAAGTGGAAGGGAGAAAGAATCAGTGAGGAAACGGTCACAAGGTAAACTCCAAAACTTTGCTTGTTTATTTTGATGATCTAAAGTTCCATATACTTTTGCAGAGCTTTTATGGGTGATGATGCTTCTTGGTTCCGTGGAAAGGTGGCGGTGCTTGAGTGGAGTGAGATCCATGCGTTGGCGGAGCGCTTCCTGGTTTGCTGGAGCTTGGATGTGGAGGGAATGCTCCAGGAAAGGATGGTGGAGAGTTTGCAAATGGAGGAGGAGCCGCCTTGTTGGAGCCGTGTGGTGCTGGTTTCAGAGGATATCCAAATCCCGGGTGTGGAGGAGGAGCCACTTTGAAGGCAGTCGAATGATCTACCGGTGGAAATGCTCCAGGAACGAATGGTGGGAAGTTCCATCCAAGTCCTGGAAACGCAGAGTGTGGAGGAGGAGCTACTTTGCTGGCAGTCGAGTGATCTACTGGAGGAAACGCTCCAGGAAAGAAAGGCGGAAAGCTTCCAAATCCTGGGAACGCAGGGTGTGGAGGAGGAGCGACTTTGTTGGCAGTCGGAGGAATGGCTCCAGGAAAGAATGGTGGGAAGTTTCCAAATCCTGGAAAAGCAGGGTGTGGAGGGGGAGCCGCGCTCGAGCCCTGATCATCGGCTACTGCTGGTTTTGAATGGCGGAAAGGATTCTCGTTGCAGGATGGAAGAGGTTCCGGCGGCTGGAAGAAGAAAGGCCCAGCGCTGTAGAAGGGCCATGGACGGGCAATTTTGAGCGACGACTGAAATGCCGGCATCGATGGTGGCGATGGCGGGCTCCAAGGCTGGAACTGGAACTTGACGGGAGTGTTGCAAGTGCCGAGATCGCCCTCGACTCTGGAGAAATCGCTGGCCACCTTGACAGAGCAAGACGCCAGCTTCGCCGGGGAGCTGGCCACCTCCGCCGGGAGGGCGATGGTGAAGACGCCAAACTCGGAGGTGGTGTTGGATGCCTGGAAGTCGCCGCACTGGATGATCGCGGTCACGTCTTTGGTGATCAAGCAAGAGCGTTAGAGCAAATCTAGTTCCAAACTTCTTGGAAGAACACATTAGATAACTTACTTGGAATGGCGATGGTTGTGAACGAGAAGGTCTTGTCCATACATCGGTCGCAGAAGATGGTGCCAAAGACCATCGGGGGAACCGCCGGTGGCTTGTTGGGACTCCGTTTCCTCGCATTGGCAGTGGCGCCGAGAGAAACAAGAAGAACAAGAATCGCGAGCTTGTAAAACGCGGCCATTTCCTTCTCGGCTTTGCTCGTTTTGCTTTGCTCGACTAGAGAAGGCCGGCTTGGCTGGATGATGATCTGGATCACCTTGTCGCCACAATTTATAGGCAAATCCATCCAAACGTGACGCTTTGCTCCCGTCAGCTGTGCCGTTGTTTACCATAGCTCCAGAAAGCCTTTCTAGGAGAAACTTGGAAACTCCTCAAAGTTGGCACAATGGAATGTGTTGTCAAGAAACACACGCAAAATGGAAGTGGAGAGAGGTTTCATGTAGCAGCGGCGACTTGGACATAAAAGTCCCGCGTGACTTTTTTCTTCCACCTTTTTTCTTGATTGTGTCTAAGCCTCTAGTGGCCAATTGACAGAGTTATTGCCAAGATCAGCTTTCATCACCATTCGTCACGTATCTGTCGTTCCAAAAACCCCATATAGTCATCAAAAAACACCCCCACAACGCCGCTATAATCATACCCTTCGTCTTCCTTCTTTTTCAAATGCGTGTGGTGCTAGATTCTGCGAGCATTTACCTCACTTCTAGTGCTTGGGGGCCACTTTGACGCCAGGAAAACCAAACATCTCTATTGATTTCTTTGATAGATACAATCGTATATTGTACATATGTATCACGGAGGTGCTGCTAGAAGGGACTCACCTTCCTCGCGAGCTTGAGCAAAATCTCTGGCAGCATCCGTCTATCCAGCCGCCCTCGATCAACCTCGGCCTCGTTGTCTCGGTATATCACCTCGAGTATGTCGTAAAGAAGCTCATCTTTGCCCCCACGCATTGGGTCCTGGAATGCATTCGGTAATCGCTTCGTGCCATCGGGAAACAATCGAAAGAGAGGCCTACCTGTATGATGATGTCGGTGTGGGTCTTGTCCTTGTAAAAATTAGTGACCACATTCGCATTTACACGTCCTAGTGCCTCGGCAAAGCTAACACTGCAATCCAGCAGAAAGGAAAAAATAAAAAATAAAAGTGAGTTTTTCTCCAGTAAGGAGCAATGCGTACCTCGAGCTGTGAGGAATTGAGTAGTCGGCCGTCCCATGGCACAAAACCATGGTCGGTAGCAAAGGCACGGCCGGCTGAAATTCTCTGCTGCTAACAACTATTTCCGGAGAATGCTGTGCTAACGATCCTTCCCCTTCCATTACACTGGATTAAAAACCAAGGCATCAGAGATTTAACTTTGAAGTGAAGAAAGCGGAAAGCACTTACCTCAGAAAGAGCGATCTGTACAGGCCTCGATTATGAAAGTGATCTACAAGCTTGAAAAGATTGTATCCTCCAGATATGCCAAAGAAGGCCTTGAACTGGGTGGCACTCCACAAAAGATTGCATTTTCCGTGGATGGCCTCTTTCCTAGCCTGGTTGACGAGAGCGCAGGAAGCAATGTGTGCGCCAGCAGATTGACCAGCTAGATACAGCCTATGCCACGCAGAAAAAAAAAAATTAGACTATTATGCATGGATAGGGAGCAAATTACCTGTCTACATTCCCACCATAGCTCGAAATGTTATTGCAGAAAAACGAAAGTGCCGTTGATACATCGGCAACCATGTCACTTATCCCACCTTGAGGAAAGTTCCTGTTCAATCAAACAACAAGAATCAGAACTTGTTTTTTTTATGTTTTAAACCATAGAAGATTGACCTGTAATCTATACACGCAACAATTACCCCTCTGTCGACAAGCTGACGACCCAGAAGAGCTCCCCACGCTTTGTATCTGTAAAAGTTATCAGCTCCACGTGTAAGAAAAGGGGTGAAGGCCAACCCGATAATCCACGCGCCACCAGTAACGAAAGCCACTGCAGGCTTAGATCCGTCAGTTTTCTCTGGTAAGTAAAGGTCCAATCTACAACCAAAATGCTATAATCAAGGAAAAACGAGAACTGAAACTCTCACCTGTTTCTCGGCTGATCACCATACACGATGCTTCTATGTACTCGCTTTGAGAAGTAATAGTACCAAGAAACTATAAAAAAACTCAAAGAAAAGCCAGATTTTAGCGCAGAGAAAAAAAAATGAAGAAGAAAGATTGAATGAGCTACCTTGAATAAATCCTGGCATAAGAAAGGTAGCGTACAGGCTCAAGGCAATGAATTTCACCATCCATCGATAGCCAATCCTGGGATCTAGAAGTTAGAAAAGATGAAGAGAAAGAAGAAACCAATGAAAACGCTATACTTTACCCCAAGTATCTCAAGAGCTTGAACGTGAGCCTGGTAAGAAGATATGTCTCGGATGCTGCGTGAGAGACATCCTCGCGGAACGAATGCTGCGACTGGATCTGGCCCGAGAATTCGCTGCTCGGACTCCTCCGCCGCCTCTGTTGCTGGTGGCCGAAGGAGAAGGATTCCGAAGGAGAAATCAGCCGCGAGAGCTCGTCATCCTGCTGCTGATCTGGGATTTCGACCTTAGTCTCCTTGCAGGCAAAGCCGCCGAAGGATTTGCTCCTGACGACCGTCATGGCGGATGAGAAGAAAGAAGATCGATCATGGAATCCTGGAAGCACTGTGCTGGAATAGTGGGAGATCACCCTCACCCTGCAAAGAACGAGAATACGACGCGTTACCTCCATGCCGGCCGTGAGCTAGTCTCCCGCTTCTAGGGCTTTTTCCATGGTGCTCGGCCCCTTCCTTTCAAAATGGACGGCTCGGATTCGCGGTGTTCTTGAGAATAGACGGCCCAGATTCGTTTGGTGTTCTTGGGGAGCATGGCGAGCAATGGGGAGAATCGTGCAGTCCCTGGCGGAGCTTGTCAAGATCTGCGGCAGGGCCAAGGACATCGCCGAGGGGCGGAAGCTCCACGCGCGGATCCGGCAGGGCGAGCACCACGCCAATCGCTACCTCGCGAATCTCCTCATCGAGATGTACAGCCGGTGCGGCAGCGTGGACGAGGCGCGCATGGTGTTCGACGGCATCGCGGCGCCCAATCGATTCTCCTGGAACATCATCACGCACGCCTACGCGATCAACGGCGACCTCGATCGCGCGCACGAGATGCTGGAGAGCTCGCCCGACAGGGATCTGGTGTCGTGGAACTCGCTCATCACGGCCAATGCCCAGCGCGGCCGCCTGGGGGAATCGCGCCGCCTCTTCGCGAGCATGGAGCGCCGGAATCTCGTGTCGTGGAACGCGCTGTGCGCGGCATTCATGGGCACTGGAAGAACCCTAGAGGCTGTGGCGGTGTTTGAGCGAATGCCTTATCAGGATGGGGCGTCGTGGACGACGATGATGGTGGGATTTGCCCAAAATGGGCATCTTGGCGAGGCGCGAGCGCTGTTTGAGATCATGGGCGAGAGGAATTCGATCTCCTGGACGGCGCTCCTCCAGATCCATGCGCAGCACAGGAGAGTAGAGGAGTCTAAGCGAATTTTCGATGCCATGCCGGGAAGAACTGTGATAGCTTGGACAATTATGGTCACCGCATTTGCCCAGTGTGGGCATTGGCTACAAGCACAAAACCTCTTTCTTGAAATGCCGGAACAGGACCTCCAAGCTGTGAATTCCATGATCCAGCTCTATGTCAACACCCAAAACTTGGAACAGGCTAAGAACCTCTTTGATACAATGCGAGATCGCAATGTGGTCTCCTGGACCGCGATCTTTGCAGCGTATGCTCAAAAGGGGCATTTGCTGCAAGCTCGGAAGCTCTTCGATTCCATGCCGGATCGTAACGTTATCTCCTGGAACGCGATGCTGGCGGCATACGTCCAGAGCGGCGAGTTCCTTGCAGCTCTCGATCTCTTCAAGGTCATGGAGCAGGATGGATCGTCGCGGCCCAACGAGATCACATACGTGAGCGTCCTCACGGCGCATAGCCACACGGGGCTCGTCAAGGAGAGCGTCCAGCAGTTCCTGTGGATGATCCTGGACCGCGGCGTGACCCCAATCCTGGAGCACTACCACTGCGTGATCGACGTTCTTGGGCGTGCTGGGAGAATGGACGCTGCTGAGGAGCTCGTCAACTCCATGCCCTTCGTCCCCCAGATCATCACCTGGACGACGCTCCTAGCGGGTTGCAAGATCCACCGGGACTCCAAGCGCGCGGCAAGGATTGAGACAATCATACTGGCGCTGGATCCTGGCTGTGCTCCAAGCTATGTTCTTCTCTCCAACATCTATGGAGGAACCAAGACCGCCACCTTTTGATGATCCGGGTTACGTTCCCTCGGCATGGATTCCAAACAGGAGCATGTAAGGTGCTCCTCGATGGGCTTCTCGATCGCGATTGAGCTCGAGGATCAGAAGCCCGATCCGAGCTCCACGATCGGCGTCGCCGTGGATCCGGCAAGCTCCCAGCAGTGTCGTCCACGCCTCGGTCTCGGGCTCGAAAGGCATGCTCCAGAGAAGCTCCTCGGCCTCTCCCAGCCTCCCGGCGCGAGAGAGAGCGTCCACAACGCAGAGGTAGTGGTGGAGCAGCGGATCGATGCCTCGGTTCTGGCACATTGACAGGAAGAAGAACCGGGTATGATCGACGAGGCCGAGATGCGCGCACGCCGTGAGGATGTCCAAGAACGTTACCTCGTCGTGTTTGATCCCTTCCAGATCCATAGACTGGAAGATCTCCACTGCGTCGCTTGCGCGATCGTTTCTGGCATAGGCCGCGACCATGGTAGTCCACGAAACCACGTTTTGTAGCGGCATCCGATCGAAGAGAGCTTGAGCTTCGCCCAGATGCCCCAAACGGGCAAATCCTGCTAGCAGCGTCGTCCATGAGATCACGTCTGGATCTGGGATCCTCTCGAGAAATCTCTTGGCCTCGTCCATCCGGTTTTGCTCGATCAATGCTGCCAGAACCTCATTGTAAGACACAGTGTTCTTCTCGGGCATCTTTTCAAATAGTTTCTGTGCTTGATCCAAATGCCCTTGACGGGCAAATGCTGCCATCACGGCATTCCAAGTCACGGTGTCTCTACGTGGCATTTTTTCCAGCATCCCGGCAGCCTCGTCAGCATGGCCAAACTCCGCAAGTCCCGCCACGAGGACAGTCCACGTCACTACGTTCCTCTCCGTGGCACTGTCAAACACCCACTTGGCGTCAACAATATGCCGGTTTGCGGCATAGGCTGTTACCATAGCGTTCCATGTTACGACGGTCTTGTATGGCATAGTATCAAAAATTTCTCTAGCTTGGGAAACGTAACCCTTCTCCGTGTATGCAGAGATTAGCGCCGTGGAAGAGAAAATGCTCCATTGGGGCATCTTTTGGTGTAATTCCCCAGCTTTAGGAATATCCCCGGTCTTGGCAAGTGCAGTGATAAACACCGTCCATGGAACGATGTCCCTAGACGGCATCTGGTTGAAAAGAAATGTGGATAGCTGGAACTGTCCGGATTGCGCGGATGCGTTCATCATCGCCGTCCATGTGTAAATATCCCTGTGTGGCATCCGGTCGAAGAGATTCTTGGCGCTCTCCAGATGCCCATTCCGGGCATATGCCTGAAGGAGCGCGTTCCACGAGTATTTGTCCCGGCCAGCCATGGAGTCGAAAGCCCTGCGCGCGTCCTCCACGCTCTCGCACTGCCCAAACATCTCGATCAGGCGGGTAGAGAGGTAGGCGCATTCTCGCAGCGCTGGGCTCCTCTGGATGATGGAATCGCGGATGCGCTTGCCGCGATTGAGATCTCTGGCCGCTCCACAGGCCGCGATGAGGTCGGCGCAGCTAGCGGTGTCGAGATCGGGCTGTCGATTCGCGTTTACGGCGAGAATCCACTCGAGATTGCTGGCAGCGCCGCTGGCGAGCTTCCTCTTTCTCTTGGACTCTGTTCTAATCATCCGGGAGGAGGAAGAAGGCTTGCACCATTCGCGGAAGATCTTTCCGGGAGGAGGGAGAAGGAGTGGCCGATCCAACGGCCTGGCGAGCGCCACGTCATCATTCCTTTGGGCGCTCAAGCCCTAACCCGGTTCGTTAGGAGCTAGGGCTCCAGTGGAGAAATCGAGGAGGCGAGTGGAGCTCAGGTAGATGTAGAGAAAATGGCGATTCTCGCCAACAATCACAGGGCTGGCGGTGCTAGATCGTCGAGCGATGCCGGCGCCACTGCGCCCCGGAGAATGCTGGCGGTGAAGCTCGAGGATTCGGAGGTTTCTACGGAATCGGAGCTCTCGGACAAGGGTATGGAGACTTGCCAGGTCGGGGAATCCATCGCCAGCTTCCCGTTCGAGCTGTTCGATCTTCCCGACTTGAAGAACATTTTGTCCCTGGAGACTTGGAATTTCTACTTGTCCGAGGAGGAGAGGGAGCAGCTCATGGCTTTCATGCCCCCGGAGATCGACCAGGAGGCATTTGCGACGACGCTCAAGGAGCTTCTCTCGGGCACTAGCAATATCTTCTTCGGGAATCCAATGGCCCAGTTGTTCGAGAGCTTGAAAGGAGGACATTGCCAGCCCAATGTGGTGCAGTACTCGGACGGGATTAAGTGTCTCCAGAGGAAAGAGCACTACCAGCTGCTGAGAAAGTACCACAATTCCATGGTGAGCTCGTTCGTGGAGATGCAAAAGCTGTGGGAGGAGTATCCGGACGTGGAGATCGAGGGGAGGCTAGAGATTTGGAGGAAGTGGAAGGACACCAAGGTGAAGCCGCAGCTCCCAAAGGTGGCTGAGAAGACTTTCAAGGCTGTCCAGAAGGCGAAGATGCCCGAGACAGTGAAGGATGCGTTGAAGAGCAAGGCTGCCGAGCCAGTGGCTGAAGCTGTGCATGGAAACACGAGGATGGTAGCGAAGGGAGCTGTAGCTAAGCCGGGCTTAGCAAAGGCTGGGAGAGCTGCCTCCAAAGGTGGTGTTGTGAAGAAGTCTGTTCCTGGGAAGGCTGAGAACGCGGCGTCTCCAGTCTCGGATGATCCGGAGGCCTTTGGAAATGACAGTGGTGGTGGTGGTGGCGGGAATACAAGCTCCTCGCTGACGAGTGGCGAGAAGAAGAGGAAGTCGAATGTGGAGAGGGCTTCGGTGGCCAAGCGGACCAGGGAGGATGAGAGTATGACGAGCTCGGAAGATAGTGACAAGAAGGCTTCCAGTGCGGGAAAGCAGAGAATGCAAGCTCTTGTGGACGTTGGAGTGGCGAAGGCCGAGCCAGGGAACGAGGAGGCAGAGCAGAAGAAGAAGACGAAGAAAAAGGTGGCGGCTGAGAAAGAGGTTTCGGAATCTCCACCACAGTCGAAGGTTATCAAGAAACTGGGAGTCACCTTCCCATTTTCGATCATCTTGTTCCTGTCGGCTCTGAGGCGAGCTTTGCTGACGCCGGCCAAGGACAGTGGCCCCAACGTTGACGCAGCGTTATCAAAGAATGCCAGCAGTGGCCCGTCGAGTCCGACTGATGACAACGGCAGTGACGATGGCGCAGCAAAAGCTGGTTTTTTCTGCGTTCCCTTCTCGGAGGTTGTCAGCAGAGTGCAGGAAAATCCAGGGGATCGAAAAGTCCTCCAGGCTCAGGAGCCACTGCAAGACTTAGCGTGGGGAGCATTGAAAGTCCTATCATCCAAGATTGCTCCTGCTGGAGCCAAGGGGTGGAAGCCGCTCACGACTTACGAGAAGGAGTCGAAGTCTTGGTACTGGATCGGCCCCCAGGGATCTGTGGACGAGTCTGGCAACATGCTGGCGGACGACTGGGGTGTACCGTCCAAGATCCTTTCGAAGCTGGAAGAAGCGTTTGCGACGTGGTACAAGCACGGCGAAGAAACTCGGCAGCAAATGGTCCAGTTGCAACTTCCGCCGCCTCCGGTTGCCTCGGCGGCCGTGGACGAGAGGGAGAGATTCAGGGACATGCGAGCGCAGAAGAGTCTGATAACCATCGCGCCGAGCTCGGAAGACATGAGGTCCTACTTCCGGAAGGAGGAAATACTTCGCTACTCGGTACCAGACCGGGCGTTTGCTTACACGCGCTCGGACGGGCAAAAGTCGGTGGTGGCTCCTTTGAGAAGAGGCGGGGGAAAGCCGAACTCCAAAGCCAGGGACCATTCCATGCTCAAGCCGGACCGGCCTCCGCACGTCACGATTCTGTGCCTGGTGAGGGACGCTGCTGCTCGGCTTCCTGGTGGCGTGGGGACACGGGCGGACGTGTGTGCCTTGATCCGGGACTCACAGTTCGTTGTCGAGGACGTTTCCGAGGCTCAAGTTCACCAGGTGGTGAGTGGTGCCTTGGACAGGCTTCACTACGAGAGAGATCCGTGCGTACGCTACGACGGCGAGAGGAAGCTCTGGCTCTACCTCCACACGGAGAGGAGCGAAGAGGACTTTGAGGACGACGGTACTTCGTCGACCAAGCGGTGGAAGAGGCAGAAAAAGGACGCATTTGAAGGTGGTGGCGTCGGCGTTGCCGAGCTGCCACAGGGGTGCTACGAAAACGGCTCGCCTGGCGGGATGGAGCAAGATGGCGGAGGCAGCGGTGGCGGCGGCGGCGGCTTTGGAATCGAGCTGAGACTCCCGGAAACTACGACGTCCGCCATCTACTCCGCCGGCAGGACGGAGCTCGTGTACAGCAAGAGCGGCTCCCTGTCCAGTCCCAGAGTTCTCAACGGCAGTGGCTCTCTAGCGGCCGATCCAGCAATGCCTTCGTACATGGAGCTCCTCCCTCCGGCAACTCGTCCCATTCCAGCACCGTGGGAAGCTCACGCTCACGCTCCCGCTTCCTGGAACCAGCAAGGCGCTGTCCAAGCCGGACAACAAGAACAAACACCGCAAGAACAGGCAGCTTGGAGTCAGCATGCCTCATCGCCACCATCATCAGCAGCAGGAGTAGCACAGCAAGATCCAACCGAGTTTGTCGACGTAGAAGCCATGGCTGCAGCAAACAGGGACGCAGACGCCATGATCACTGGAGACGACAGCTAGTGAAAAGGTTCGTAGCTTCTTTTACTACTACTATTGTCACATCTTCTCTAAACCTCGCTCTCGTGCTCAGAGGTCTTCCAGAAGTGTAAAAGCCAAAATTGCGAACAGCGTTTGTTCGTTTTCCTATGTCCCCTTGTGTTCTCCTAGTAAGTCACTCGAACAGTTTTCTCTTTCCCTACTCCTCGTCTGATAAGCAGATGTAGTCAGCGTGTCCCAAGCTCACCCGGGAGTCCAGAGGGTGCTGGGCGATAAATGCGTTGCCTCCGGCTAGAACTCGTGCTACAGAACTGGCGCTAGCTTGAGCCGCGTGATCCACAGCTACGTCAGTGACCGCGGCAGCTGGTACTACTCCTGTGTTACTAAAGCTACCGCCGCCGCCGCCTGTCCCTGTGTGAGCCTGGTTCAACCAGGACAGCCGCAGGTTCTCGCTTATGTTCCTGTACATTACCTGCGAGCTGACGCGGGCGTTCATGAGCTCTTGAGTCGTGGCCACCACCGTGGGAGAAGGCGGTGCTACTGCTGGACTCGTCATCATCATCGTAGAAGCTGAGACTGGCACGAACTGGAGCCTCGTATGGTGATGCGTCTGCTGCGTTGCTGGGGTGGCGAAGCTGGGAGAGATTGGCCGGAGGAGATCTGGAGCTCGTGTCGCGTTGGTTGGCGATGGCGGCGGGAAGACCATCACCTGCTGAGGATGCTGCTGCTGGCCAAAGTGCTGCCCTGGGACTCTGAGTATCCCATGCTGCGTGTTGTAGATCGCGGCCATTGGAGAGGAGGAGCCGGCCAGAGCTTGCGGCCGCGAGTTGGCGCCCGCGATGGCGGCGAAGTCCATGACGGAGTTGTGCCACACGCTTGCCGGAGCTGGCGGTCCGGGAGATCCTGAGAAACCACGCATGGCTGTAAAGAAACAGGGAGAAATGACATAGTACCTTTGAGGCGCACGCTGTCTTTCAGCCTTAGCGCCTCGGATAAGCGGCGTTGCGCAGCCACCGCTGCAAGGTTGCCTTGTAACGCTTCCGCCTTCTGGGCGAACGCTTTGCACTCGTCCTCGAGCTTCCGTTTCAACGCCTCCAGTTCTTTCGAAAGCCTTGCCACCTGAACTCAAATACGAGGAAGTTGAGCAAAGAAAGGCTGATGAACCCAACCTCGTCGTCGCGCGCCTTCTTGATCTTCTCCATCTCTTTCTGCAGCCTCGTCTCCTCCAGCGACAGTGGATCGTAGTGCGAAGACAGGCGCGCTGGCGGCACAAAGTTGGAAACCGGCTGCTGTGGAACCCGCGGACTCTGGCCAAGGGGAAGAGGAGCTTCAGCATGAATCTGACCCGTTGCAGGAAGCGCAACGACAACTTGACTTCTGTTCCCTGCAAAGATTTCGTTGGCCCGACCACTAGTAGTACGTGGAAATTCTTCCTGGCCTCTGCTCGCTGGTAACGCAATAACAACTGCGGCTCGGCTCCCGGTCGCTGGTCCTTGCTGGCTTCTGCTCGCTGGGATCTCGGGTGGGACTTGGCTTCTGCTGGCTGGCGGTCGGACGACGTCACTTGCAAGTGGAACTTCCTCTACTGTTCTCGCAGGAAGAGGGACTTCTTCCCTTCTGCTCGCAGGAGCCGGAACAGCCGGAGCTTCTGCTCTTCCGCTCGCAGCAATAGAAACATCCCGTGTAAGTGGAACTTCTTCTCTTCCGCTCGCAGCAATAGCAACGTCCCGTGTAAGCGGAACTTCCTCTCTTCGGCTCGCAGCAATGGAAGTTGTCCTGCTCGCTGGAATGCTTGGAGGTTGAACTTCTTGTCTTCTGCTCGCAGGAACGTTCGGAACTGGAACTTCGTTTCTGCTCGCATGAACTTGAGTTACTTTACTTCTGATAGCAGGAACGGAGACTTCTTCTCTTGTGCTAGAACCAATTTCAGGAGCTGGAACGGGGGCTTCAGGAAGCACAGGATGCGAGGCTTCCGCAGTGGTCATAGAAACGGAAGAAACTC